TCGCCAAGGCTGGAGTATAGTGGCATGGTCTTGGCTCACTGCAACCTCTGCCTCCTGGGTTCAAGTGATTCTCCTGCCTCAGCCTCCCGAGTAGCTGCGATTACAGGCATGTGTCACCATGCACAGCTAATTTTTGTAATTTTAGTAGAGACAGGGTTTCACCATGTTGGCCAGGCTGATCTCGAACTCCTGATCTCAGGTGATTTTCCCGCCTCAGCCTCCCAAAGTGCTGGGATTACAGACATGAGCCACCATACCTGGCTGCTAATTTTTTTAAACATGTGGTCTTGCTGTGTTATCCAGACTGGTCTTGAACCTCTGGGCCCTCAGTCCTTCCACTTTGGCCTCCCAAAGTGCTAGGATTACAGGTGTGAGCCACTGTGCCTGGACCCTAATTTAAGAGGTGCTAGTGTCCACGTGGGTGAGGGGATTGACTTTGAAAATAAGGATGTATGAGCTCGGTGGATTTGTGTGGTGACTGTGGGCAGGTCCTCCTGCGTCTACTTGTGGAGATGGGGCAGAAAACTGAATTTTCTTCCCGTACCCATAGTGACCAGATGGCGAAAGCAGATTGACAGCCATAGATAGCAATAACGATGATGGTGGGAATATTAATAGTTCCCGTATTGAGCGCTTACTCTGTGCCCGGCCCCGTGCTATGCATTTCATTTACATTACCTCCGTTGCAGTGTTTCCCCCTTGTTAGGCATTTTAGAGCTTCCTGTCTGATTTTTACCCCAGAGTGGTATAATACTACACCACCTATAGTATTAATTGACTGAAATTTCAGGTTTTTGTTTTGAGATGGAGTCTCCCTCTGTCACCCAGGCTGGAGTACAGTGGTACGATCTCAGCTCATTGCAACCTCTGCCTCCTGGGTTCAAGTGAGTTTCCTGCCTCAGCCTCCTGAATAGCTGGGATTACAGGTGCGCGGCACCACGCCCGGCTCATTTTTGTATTTTTGATAGAGATGGGGTTTCACCATGTTGGCCAGGCTGGTCTCGAACTCCTGACCTCAAGTGATCCACCCACCTCTCAAAGTGCTGGGATTACAGGCACAAGCCATTGCACCCAGCCTGAAATTTTACTTTAAATGAATGCCTTTTTTTGTTTGTTTTTTGTTTTTTTTAACATTGCCTTATCAAAGAAGGATATGGAATGGCTGTTGGGAACCGCAGAGTAGGGGGACTAAGGGCACTGACTCCATTCTCAGCTTGCATGCTTTGCAGCTGTGTAACATTGTGCATCCCACTTCATCTTCGTTAGCCTTGGTTTTTCTCATCTGTAAAATGAGCGCAGTAAGAGTACCCCCCACCTAGGGCCTTACATTTATAAAGTGCTCAACTGTGTCTACAGTGGAAGAATACTTGGTAAATATCGTCTCTTTTGAGACAGGATCTCACTCTGTCGCCCAGGCAGGAGTGCAGTGGCGTGATCTTGGCTCACTGCAACGTCAACCTCCCTGTCTCAGTTGATCTGCCTACTTCAGCCTCCACAGTAGCTGGGACTACATACATACACCACCATGCCTGGCTAATTTTTGTATTTTTTTGTAGAGATGAAGTTTCAGCAGATTGCCCAGGCTGGTCTGGAACTCCTGACCTCAGGTGATCTGCCCACCTCAGCCTCCTAAAGTGCTGGGATTATAAGTGTGAGCCACCAAGCCTGGACTAATATTGGCTCTTAACTTGTTAGCTATATATGTATGTATCTATGTATGTATGTATGTATATGTGTGTGTGTGTGTGTGTCTGTGTAGATAAACACACATACATTCACTTATTTTTTTAGAGATAAGGTTTCACTCTCTCATTCAGGCTGGAGTGCAGTGACACAATCGTAGTTCACTGCAGCCTGGAACTCCTGGGCTCAAGCAATCCTCCCGCTTCAGCCTCCTAAGTAGCGGGGACTACAGGTATACACCACCATGCCCAGCTTATTTTTTTATTTTTTCCATAGAGAGATGGAGTCTCACTATGTTGCCCAGGCTGCAATGCAGTGGTGCAATCAAAGCACAGTACAGCCTTGCTAACTAGCTGTATATTTTTAAGATGCCTTATATGTAACCCTTCTAATTTAAAAATTCAATTTAAAATAAGAAATTTGTTACTGTGTCATCTAGAATCAGAGTTTGGCTACTTTGGAGACTGAGGTGGGAGGATCACTTGAGCCCAGGAGTTCTGGGCTGTTGTGCACTATGCTGATGGAGTGTCCTGCACTAAGTTTTGCATGAATATTGTAACCTCCTGGGACTTGGGGGACCACTAGGTTGCCTAAGGAAGTGTGAACTGACCCAGGTTGGAAACAGCAGGTCAGAACTCCTGTGCTGACCAGTTGGCTCATGCCTGTGAATAGCCACTGCACTCCCCACCAGGGCAACATAGCTAGACTCCATCTCTTAAAGAAAAAAGGGTCCCAGCGCTTTGGGAGGCTGCAGTGGGTGGATCACCTTAGGTCAGGAATTCGAGACCATCCTGGCCAACATGGTGAAACCTCGTCTCTACTAAAAATACAAAAATTAGGCCAGGCACAGTGGCTCACATCTGTAATCCCAGCACTTTGGGAGGCCGAGGTGAATGGATCATGAGGTCAGGAGTTCAAGACCAGCCTGGCCAACATGTGAAACCACGTCTCTACTAAAAATACAAAAAAATTAGCTGGGCGTGGTGGCATGTGCCTGTAATCCCAGCTACTTCGGAGGCTGAGGCAGAAGATTTGCTTGAACCAGGGAGTCAGAGGTTGTAGTGAGCCGAGATCGTGCCACTGCACTCCAGCCTGGCAACAGAGCGAGACTCCGTCTCAGGAAAAACAAACAAACAAACAAACACAACACAAAAATCAGCTGGGCATGGTGGCAGGCACCTGTAATCCTAGCTACTTGGGAGGCTGAGGCAGGAGATTCGCTTGAACCCAGAAGGCAGAGGTTGCAGTGAGCTGAGATGGCGCCATTGCACTCCAGCCTGGGTGATAAGAGTGAAACTCTATCTCAAGAAAAAAAAGAAAAAGAAAGGGGCTGGGTGCGGTGGCTCATGCCTATAATCAGAAGACTTGGGGAAGCTATGTCAGACGCGGTGGCTCACGCCTGTAATCCCAGCACTTTGGGAGGCCAAGGTGGGTGGATCACGAGGTCAGGAGATGGAGACCATCCTAACATGGTGAAACCCCGTCTCTATTAAAAATACAAAAAATTCGCTGGGCGTGGTGG